TGGCTCTGTGACTAGCTCACACCTCCTCCATGGACAGGAAAGGGAAGAACAATCACTCAAAGAACAGTCAGCTTCAGCCAGCATCAGGCACTGAGAGGCAGTTCATTTCTATGAGTTTCTTTGGTTTCCAAGGCTTCCCCCACCCAGCTCCTACTGATGTACAGGCTATGAGAGGGACTGAGATCCAATAAGGATTGTGAGGACTCATGACCACAGTTGGGAGCTGTGGATAAAGCTTAAATGGATTCACTGACGTCTCGTTTGCTACACATGATGGAAAACCTTGAGTGGGAAAGGGAGGGAACAAGTATAGTGAGGGAATGAGAGGCAGAGCCTTGGACAATATGTTAGCATTCCATTTACTCTCATAACTCCCAGATATCCATGTTTTCTCATCCTTTTTTTCCCCCTAATAAAACTTACATCCCTTCCCATCTTTGCAGCAAAAGGAGAGGTTCTTCCCCACCCCAGCCTCTACTAACCTCTCTAAAGCAATTTCTGATTAACCAGGGACTCTGTCCATCTCATCTAGAGGGACCCAGGGTCCTTGTTAGCCTGGCTGGGACCGTTCCACTGCCCCAGAATCCCAATGGGGCCTGACAGCACCCACTGACAGTAAGAGCTTGCTTCCCTTGGCCACCCTTCTCCTGGATTGTTTCTCCTTAATTCTTCATTTGGCTTACTCCTTCTGGCTCTCGTCAAAAGTGCCCCAGCATTCTTCTGAAATTCCCTTGAGGTGTGATGGTATTGCCACAGAGGCGCTTCTGTGGTGGAGCTGAACTCTTATCCTTCCCCAGAAGGAACTGTGGTGTCAGGGAGTAGAGGTGTGGGCTCATTACAAAGTGTGTCTCCAAACGCCTACCTTGCCTGTGTCTTCTTCACCATCAGCTCCAGCCAGGAAGCTGCCACCCAAGAGAGCAGAAGGAGAAATCAAGCCGTACTCCTCTAGTGACCGAGAATGTAAGATTGGGGTAGGGTGCTCGGTTTGGGGTACCCTAACTCAGGAAGAATTCGTTCTCTCTAAAGGCTCTGATTTCTCTTTTCTACCCTACTCTTTGCTGTCTTGCTCTTTATCCTCCTCCCTTTTCCCAGTTTTGAAAGTAGCTGTGGAACCTCCTTGGCCCCTAAACAGGGCCCCTCGCCGAGCTACACCTCCGGTCCACCCGCCTCCCCGCTCCAGCAGCCTGGGAAATTCACCAGAACGAGGTCCCCTCCGCCCCTATGTGCCAGAGCAGGAGCTTCTGCGTTCCTTGCGCCTCTGCCCCCCACACCCTACTGCCCGGCTTCTGCTGGCTTCCGACCCTGCTGGCAGCTCAGCCCAGCGTCGCCGCACCAGGTAATAGAAGTTGGATGGTTAGGGAGCCTCAAGACTGTCGAAGAATATTAGAAATGGGAAAGGGCAATTGGAGTCAAGAGACATAAAGAAACAGGATGGGTAAATTGGAGAGTATATTGGGAAATATTTGTGGGAGTGGTATGGAAATAAATGACAGTGGGGAAGCAGAATAGGACTTTATGTAAAGTCTAGGGACCCCAGTTTTACAGTGAGAGTTGGGAGGAAATGTAGGAAGAACCCAGATCCATGGGTGTATGGAACTGCTAAGTTGGGGGAAATCTTGTGATACTTGCTGGGGAAGTGCATTGTCTCTGACATTGGGGGCCACTGGCCCCATGTCAGTGCCTTGTGTGGCAGCAGCCCATCAAGCAGACAGAGAATAGGCATCTCTTGTATTTTTCTCCCTAGCTTTCTCTTCATTTCTGACTTCTCTGTTTTTCTCTCTCCCCCCACTTTCCCTCTCCCTACCTCCTGTCCATAAATCCTTTCACAGCTCCCTTCCCCGCTCTGATGAGAGTCGATACTGACAGCTAACCTGCGCCTCTCCCTGGGACACCTTGGGTGGGCAGAGACCCTCTCCCCAAGAACCCCAGACCTATTCCAGTGCTTCATCCAGGATCCAGTGGAACCTGACAGAATCCATAGGATTTTCTCTTCCCCTTTCTTGGATAACTGGGTTGTCAGGGTCCCAAATGGCCAAATACTTTGCAGTGTTTCTTGCCAGGAAATGCATCCCTTCTCTCTTAACTTGGTCTCTGAACACTCCTGCAGTCTGAATTGCTGCCAGACTCCTTGGTTGTGCGCTTATACTGATTATCCAGATAAGCACACTCTGGCTTGCTGTCAGACTCCAGAATACCATGGAAGGTCCAAGGGCCTCCACTGCTAGAGAAACCTTTTAAGGAATTTTGTCCATGGAATAAATCCCATATTCAATCTACAGTGTCTACTGGTGGCCCTCATACTGCTTTGTGCTACATAATATACTTACCTTTCAGCGTGTTGATGTCAGCCAGTGAGATCTGCTTCAGAGCACTTCAGTTAGGTAGGACAGGGACTTACAGCTCCAAAAAGGGATCTACTGAACATTGCTGAGCTCTTCATTACAACATGTTTTGTGTATGTGTCAGTGAACCCTTCAGGTGATGTCTGCTTTGGGGCTTTGAAGACTCACCACACTTCTAAAGACCACCACTACTTCCCCCAGACCCAGATTCTGTGAGGGACTTTGTTTCTTGGCAGTAGATCCCAGCAAGCACCCTGGGATCACTCTTTGCCATATTTCAAAAGATAAGCCTGAGTCTTGAGGCTCTGTTAGCTCCCAGATCTGTCCTTCCCCAGTAGCTAGATGCTGATAATATTCCTGTCTTGTGAGATTGTCTTGAGATGAAGGGGAACTCCTCTCTGGCTTTTTTTCCCCTTCCCCCTCTACAGCAAGAACCTTTTTTCCTGCTCCATGCCGATGGTATAAAACCTCCTCCTCCCTCCCTCCCCTCTGTGGTAGATCAAGTACCCCCACTATGTTCCCCCAAATCCTTGGGAGCAGGATCTCCCTTTCTCCTTACTCATTCTTCCTTTTTCTTCTCTGTCTCAGTGTTCTCAATAAAGTGTGAATTCCTTTGTGTTTTTTAAATGGACATTTTCAATGAAAAAGAAAACACCCTGAAAAATCAACTTAAGGCCTCAGCTTCATTTGTGTTACCTCATTTTCCTGGGTTCTAAGGCATCTCTGTCCCCCTCATCTTCCTCACTGCTGAGATCTGCAGATCTTGTAGCAAGGAGTCTCAGAGCTGCCCTTGCAGGGTCTGGTGTTCCCCCCTTCCCCATCTTCATTGCTGGATCTTCTGTGGGTTCTGTCTCCTCTCATGTCGTTGCTGGATCCCTCTGTGTAGGCTTCTATGTCTACTTCCCCATTCCCTCCAGAAACTCGGGCTCTCCCCAGAGATTTCTACCCGTCACCCCAAACCAGCCCTTACTGGGATGTCAAGATTTACCCATATCCTTGGAATCCTGATTGCGTCCCTATAACCATCCCCTAATTGGTCCCTGGATTCCTCTTTACATTCCGATTTTTTGCCTTTCCCTCACCAAACATTTGGACCTCTCCCAAGATAGTCCCTGACCTCTGTTGAGTGTCCAACACATTCTGTCACCTCTCTTCAAAGGCTCCCTCCTTTCTAAATCACCTTTGCTACTGCCTATAATGAAAGTAACCATGTTTTCCAAACCAAACATCAGGGTACTTTGTCCAACAAATTGGTTTTGTCTATGTGCTTTTGTGGGGGCTAAATGCACCATATACTTTTAGCCCTGCTTTTAACACATTCCAACTAGAAATAGTAAAGTAACAAATCAGGAGTGCTCCAGAAAAAAATCTTTGGAATAGCAAATGAACTCCCTCCCCTTTCCGGGGCCCAGCTTAGATTAAAACTCCCTAGGAAGGATAATTACCTCTCTGTGCTCCTGTGCTATTCCTTTTATTCCTCTCCTCTGATTCCTCTAAATCCACTCATCTTTCACCCTGTAGCCTCTTCCCCATCATTTCCCATTTCTTCTACAGGGGGACTCCCCCAGGGCTGGTAGCCCAAACCTGCTGCTACAGCCGCCATGGGGGGCTGAATTCCTCATCCCCTAACATAGGTAAGTATTCATCCCTCCATATCCTCAAATCAAGTAGGCTATATTCACTACCTTCTCTAGCTTTCCCATGCATATATGTCATATTTCCACAGGCAACCTAGAATGGAAGCAGGGGGAACAGGAAACAGATAATAGGTGAGGCCTGATCCCCTTCCCTACCAGCCTCCCAGCACCTGTCTTCTTTCATAACATCACTTTCAGCTTTTTCCTCTGAAATCTTATTCTCCCAACTGGATGCTACCTGCCTTTCCCTCTAAATCCTTCTACTTAACATCCTACAAGCCTGTTTCCCCGTAAGTTCAACTCTGGTACTTCCCTTTGGCACTGTCTGAGGGGTTTCAAGTTTGGACATAGCACCAATGGTTCCAGCTTCACACCCCATCATTTGTCCTCCTCTACTTAAGAACCAGACAGACCCTGAGACTCTGATCTTAATTCCACTTCAGTGCCTCTGTAACCCACTATCCATCGCCCTCCTACCTACCAGGTCTGCCAGTGACGAGCAGGTCTTGTCACAGCATGGGTATGAAAAGGAACCCATACACACAGTTCCTCCACAGGCCCAGGCCCCACCAGCCCATTACTGGTCAGTGGCTGGGGACTTGTTCAACGCCAGGTTCATTCGAAAGTTGCAGGAAAATCGCAGCACCAGGCCTTGGTGACTGCGGCCCTGTCACACCTTCAAAGTCATATTTCTCTCGCTACAGGAGGCAGCCAACGCCCACCATCATAATAGAACTATTTCATTCATTTGTTCATTCATTCAACAGGCTTTCTTAGCAGTGCTAAGTCATTTGCATCTTATTCTAACGACAGCAATAAAGTACTTTTATCACAAGAGCTACTGAGAAATTTAACTGTCATTATTTCAATATCATCCGCACTCCCTGTACCCAGTTCATCCCCATCTTGCCCAGCATTTTGCGCAAGCGCCCCGAGTGAGTGAGTGAGCGGAACTCGTGGCCGCCAATTTACTGCGCAAGCGCGCTCTAAGGCAGCCTCTAGTCTTCTGGCGCAGGCGCACTTACTGCGGCCTGGGCTCCTCACCGCCGCAGTACGCAAGCGCACAACATCTCCGTTTCCCTGCCCAGTTCCTGAACCCCACTACCTCTCCTTTCCCCTTCAAGAAGCCGGCGCCTGGACGCACTCCTCCCAGGAGGAGGCCACAGGCCACATTTGGTAGGCGCGCTGTCTGCTTTCGGATTATCATGTACCAGCCCAGCAGGGGGGCAGCCAGGCGTCTCGGCCCCTGCCTCCGCGCATACCAGGTTCGCCCCCAGGTGAGAAGAGGGGAGCACCCGGAGTCGATGGGGCGGGAAGAGACCCTCATCAGTGCCCGCCCCATTTCATTCTGCACAGGCGCAGTGATCCCACCGCCCGGTCTTACCTCTTGTTGGGTGGTACCTAGAGGGCCCGGGGTCTCGGGGACCAAGGAGGCAGTGCTACCAGCAGTGGCACGGATGAAACGTGGACAGCGTTTCTGCCAGGTCTGGGGTGGGCAGGCAAGGTTGAAGGCGGGGTGGCGGGGCGCATCTGCCCTTCGCCTGCGTCTCCACCACTATCTGTGCCTCGAGGTGATTTGAAGGGCAGGGGGCGGAGAGATTACACCCTGCGTGTCTTGCACCGTGAGATCGACCGGCTGGGGCCCCTGCTCCCAGGTGGGAAAGGTGGCCACACCCCCAGTGGAGACGGCGCCTCGGGGACAGAGCCCATGCAGCCCACTCGTCTTCCGGAGTGACCCCTCCAGTTCCTGGAGGAGCGAAGGAACTCAGGTCAGGCCTGACTTTGAGTGACCTCCTGCTCATCCTGGTTTCAACGGTCTATCCTTTCAGCCTATTGGGCTTGTTTGTGTCATTAGTGGGACTCGAAATGATAACTTATGTTTGTGTAGTACCTTATAAGTTGCAGCTTTGTTTACATTTATTTCATATAGTACTTATAACTCAGTGTGACGTCATCATCCTCGTTTATAAGAGGGCATTTACTGGAAACTGAGGCATAGGGAATAAGAGTGCCTAAGGGTTCCGAATAGTCTTAGTACTCAAGAGAAATGTCTACTGTTCCAGCTGGATTTTTCTTCTATACAACATCAATCTCACACACTTAATTGTGGAATGTGGTACAGGCCACATCATTTCATCCACAGTGCAAATAAAATCTGCTATTCGTTCACTTTGTTCATTCTTCAAACATGTATGTGATCCTTGCCCTGAGAGGTGGAACTGCTCCCGAAAGTATTGGAATCTTAAATGTAAAGGTGTTTGCCAATGTTTTGGGGAGATGCTTGTCATAGAAAACTTTCCCCTTGGAGATGGAGATGAATGCATCCCATTTTCCTCTAGTAATTCTATCGCTTGTCAGGAAAAGCAGGTGGGATTGGGAGTGTGTTAATGAGTAGCTTGGATGAAGGGCCATTAGGCAGCTGGATTCTTACCTTTTTCATTTTGGTTCTTCCTCCTTAGGACCAGCTTTCTCCATGGGCTCTGCCATTCCCACCCCTGTGGCCCCACTCCATGACTTCCACTTCTCCACATTCTCTTCTCTGGTTGCCCCCAATCCCACGCCCTCCCACTTGGCTGCTTCCCTGGGCTCCCCCACTACCTCTCCTTCAGACCCAGGCCCTCAGCTCACCATGGGTCATTCTCCCTCCACCAAAGGGGGAGGAGGGACCAGGACCTGAGTTGCATAGTGGCTGCCTGGATGGACTTAGGAGCCTATTTGAGGGACCTTCCTGCCCCTATCCTGGGGCTTTGATATCTTTCCAAGCCCCCGTGACTGCCCGCCCTTCCCCTGCCACTCCATCTGGAGATCCGAGTATGGAGGAGCACCTGGCTGTCATGTATGAAAGACTGAGACGAGAGGTAAGTCAGTTCAAAAGTGACCTTCATCCACAGTGGGAAGGAATGCAGGTTAACACTTGGAAATAAAGGATCGGTCAACTAGATTCTTTACTGGAACTGCAAGGCATGCACAGACATATGTTACAAACATTTCCCAAGGAAAAAATAATCCTAAATGTGGATTAAGGAAAGTTAAACATGGCATGGAGATGACCTTTCACTCAGAGGAATAAGGAAGCACAAAAATAGAAAAGTGAGAAATAGGATCATCTTTTCTTTCCCACTGGGTTGATGCCTTCTTCTTCCACCTAGCTTCCCAATTTCTTCCTTCACTCCCATGACTACACTCTCTACTCATCGGATGTTGAATTCATCAATGAGATCCTGAACATACGTACCAAGTGAGAATCCAGCCATGGGCATGGTGGTGGGGAAGAAAAGGACCCAGTGCTATGTATAATACTTGACCCTTTCAGTTACTGGAGAAGGTACTAGGCTGCTTCCCTACAACTGTTTCCTATTCTTCAGTAGCCAATTTGGTTTTCTGATTCTGCCATCGTGAGATTTCTTTTTCATCCCTTTTGCACAGGGGTCGCACATGGTATATTCTGTCACTAACCCTCTGCCGCTTCCTGGCCTGGAACTATTTTGCACAACTTCGGTTGGAGGTTCTACAGTTGACCCGCCACCCCGAGAACTGGACCCTGCAAGCCCGTTGGAGGCTTATGGGGCTACCCATCCACATGCTCTTTTTGCGTTTCTACAAGCGTGACAAAGAAGAGCTTTACCGGTAAGAGTAGTGAGGATGGACCCACACACTAAAATCCATTTCCTAATTGTACAGTTTTCGGATTGATGGTCCAGCGTCCCAGAAAATCCTTCATCTAACTGACTTGGCTGCAGCCTCCTTGAGCACAAGGATCTTATTGTAGTCTATTTTAATATAACAGAAGTAGGGACTTGGAGTATACTAGGAAATCTCTGAACTCAGCTTCTACATGTATATTACCTGGCACATAGTAGGTGTTCGAATACTTATCAAACAAACGAAAATTTCTGCTGGTGAACTCTCCTTCCCAGGAGCATGCCTGCGTCTTTCCCTTCCCTTTGTTCTTCCCCCAAAGGCACACATCTCCTAAACTCTAAAGGATGCTGGAGACTTGCAACTAGGGGAGCAACAGGCAGTGGCAGCTCATCCCAGGCTAACCCCCAACACTGTTTATGTCCCCAAAACCACCTTTTCTCTGACTTCCCAGTGAACTAACAGCCCCACCTAGGCTCTCCTATTACTTCTTCCATCCTAAATCCTTCCTTGTTTCACTATGTTCAGCTTTAACAAACATACTCTGCAAATCAAAATAAAAGAATCCTGCCTTGTAGGTTGAGCCGCACAACCTTAAATAAAGTACTTGGTAAATTTCTAAGGAGAATCCCAAGAAATTGTTAGGCTTACCCTACACCAGTGGTCTGTAAATTTTGCTGCACAGTGGAATCACTGGTGCCAGACATTCTGGTTTAATTGGGACAGGATACAACCTGGGCATCAGGGTTTCTCAAAGTTCCCCAGATGATCTAATAAGTAGCACAGTTAAGGAACTACTAGTTTAAACAAATGCTTGAATTAAACTTTGGGGTCAGTCAGCTTACCCCTCAGTAAGCCTCTCTTCCTTCACCAGGACCTATGATGCCTACTCCACTTTCTACCTGAATTCTGACGGCCTCATTTGTCGCCATCACCTAGACAAAGTGAGTCCCCAGGGCTGAATGTGGTAGGATGAGGGGGTAGCACATCCTACTAATTGGTATTAACCTTTCTCCCTGCAGCTGATGCCTTCACACACACCCTCAACACCTGTGAAGAAGCTGCTTGTGGGAGCCTTGGTGACTCTGGGGCTGTCAGAGCCAGAACCCAGCTTACGCCTGTGTCCCAAAGCCTGATCCAGGAACAGGTGTGGGCAGCACTGAAAACTGCTATGCACATGAGGTGGAGGTGGAACACCTAGCTTCTTCCCCTCTTCCCTCTCTCCTTCCTTCTTATGCTGTGTAAAGCTGTTGTGTAATTTAATTTGTAAATAATAAAGTCTAAGTGAAAATATGACATTGAATTTCCATGTCACTTTATCTGGTTTCTAAAAGTTTCCATAAGCTTTATTCTAAAACTTTTAATAGATATTAAATAATGTGTAGAAGGAAAAGGAGCTGGTGTTGGGTTCTGATTATGTCTCCGTTTCTTTACCCTAGTTCTTCACGTGTCTTGCCTGTTTTTTTTGGCATTTTCTTAGCGTGGGGATCTTCTAGTTCCTTGGCCTTATAATAGTGGGGTGCCACCTCCAGAAGCCAACTGCTCTCAATCTCCAATACCTAGAAGGGAGGAAAAAAAACAGAGTTCCTGTCTTTCCAACCTAGATTGTAATGTGTGTATGTTCAAAAGAAATTCTTCCCATCTTACTGCAGGACTAGGGGGAAGATGCAGGGCTCTAATACTATACAAGGGGGATCCAAAAACCTGTCCCAGAAATTATCTTCTGCAGGGCAGGCACCTTGTAGTACAGGCTTCCCCCACTAGGTGAGTGTTCTGGGCGCTCCTCCGTTGTCAGTATACCAGCTGGCATTGTTAGAGGCTGTGTGGCTTCAGTGAATTTTTTTTTGAAGATTGTCAATGTATTTGCCCATTGCATGCCCAGTGATTTACCAGGACACCTGTCTACACACCACACTGTTCTGCAGGTCATGACCCCTGTGCCCCACCCTCTCCTATTCACCCAGTTCACCCCAAGCAACTTTTTGTTTGCTTCCCCAGATGGAAAAAGTCAACTTTTTTTTGTTTCCCTGGATGAAAAGTCCTCATTCTGCTGATGTGGAAAAGGTGAAACAAAAATGGCGTAAGCACTAAAAGGCATCTAAATTGATGAGTTCAAAAACTTGAGCAATGGAAAACACATTTCGATAAGATGTATTGCATCAAATGGAGAGTACTTTGAAGGTGACTAAAGTTTAAACATGTAAGAATACACAATTTTTTATAACTAAATTCCAGGTCTTTTTGTGTCCCCCCTTGTACACCCCAATGGCTGTCACATTTCTACGTTATTCAGGATTCCAAGTAGGCTATTCCTAAAGAAATAAACAACAACAAAAAACCTTAAAAACGAAGACTATAAAGTACGCGCTCAGGTTATCACCCAAACACTGTGACAACAGCCATTTAAATATTCAATGAATAAGTATGCAATGATCATATCTTAGAAGATGCCAAGTCAGCTGTTATGGTGCACTTCTATTTTATCCTAACTTAAACCAGCATGTTTTCCGGGTTCTCTGTCAGTCCCAGCACATTGAACCTGGGGTTTTAGCTTGCCAGGATACCACTTGTCTCTACAATTTCCACCTGCCCGGGCAGGGGATGGTCCCCTCACCTGTCTCATGAACTCCTTGGTGGTCAAGACAAGTTCATGGTAGAGCAGCCAGCGAGGCTGTTCCTCAAAGAGGGAGGAGTTGGGGTGAATGAACACTGTCTGTTGTTGCTTCACTGTTCGGTAGCCACTTCGAGTCAACCGTGCTGTGTGATAAAAGTAACCGGCAGTGATGGCCTAAGGAGCAGGCGGGAAAGAATGTCAATAGAAAAGCCAGACACTCAGGAACCCTCAGCACTCACTACCTGTTTTTTTTTTTTTTAATTTATTTATTTATCTACCTATCTTTAGAGGGGAAGGAAAGAGGGAGAGAAACATCAATGTATGGTTGCCTTTCATGCATCCCCTGCTGGGAACTGGCCTGCAGGGAAATGGCCTGCAAGACATGTGCCCTGACTGGGAATTGAACAGTGATCCTCTGGTTCACAGGCCTGTGCTCAATCCACTGAGCTACACCAGCCAGGGCCTCACTATCTGTTTTTAATTCAGGCTTCTGGAGGACCTGGTAAGGGATGCATGAAGAACCCACTGAGAAGTAACCTGCAGTAGTCTGGGCATAAAGCACAGGAGAGGACTCCTTCCACAAGAAGAGGGCACAATCTCAGGCTAGAGAGGCTGCCAAGGTCCCAGAGGGAGGCTTGCTCCTTGGGAGACCCTGGGTGGACTAAAAATGCTAACCTTGTGTTGGCCAGGTAACTGATTTGACTTGGAACATTGACCCATACACCAAAAGGTTGTGGGTTCGACTGCCGGTTGGGGTACATAAAGGAGGCAATAGATCAATGTCTCTCTCTCTTCCCACTTCATCTCTCTAAAATCAGTAAATACATCTTTTTTTTTTTTACCTTTTTTTAAAATTTATTTAGTTATTTTTCAAGTACAGTTTTTTTTTGTCAATTTCTCCCATCCCAGCCCCCCCTCCGCCCCGTCTCCCCACCTCCCTCCCATTCCTCCCCCCCAGTCCTCATCCCTGTGTCTTTCATACTTGTTCTTCAGTAAATACATCTTTGAGTGAGGGTTAAAAAAAAAAATGCTAACCTTGCGTACACGGATATAGTCGCCCTGGCAGGAACTGAGACCAACTTCCACACGCTCTAAGAGTCCCTCCAGCTGTTCCCGTACATCCCGTGCTCGGCGCATAGATCTGAACTGGACAAAGTTCTCGTAGCACCACTGTGAAGAGTAACCACTCTCAGCCCACTGTGAAGAGGTTTCAAAAGCGGGATAAGTATACAATAGAACCAGAGTCCCCCATGTCTCCCTCATTCCCATTTACCCAAGCCCAGTGACCTGTGTATAAACGTTTAGCAAAACCAAGTGGTCCCCACCAGGGAGGAAGAAGTTGACACGGGCATTGTCAGCATGGACGACTTTGTCCTTGGGTCGGTAGAAGATGGAATTGTTGACAGACAGCATGGCAGCTACTGTCAGAATCTCCTCTGAACAGCTGTACCTGGGTCAGAAAGGGGAAAAAAGCATGAGAGTTCAAAGCAAGCTATAAGAACAGACACACAGTGGGAGGAAGTGACTGTCATGTGATACATGTGTCCTCACATGTGAACTGCTGATTAGAATAATGGCTACAAATCAGACTAGATTTGGTGGCAGCAACAGCATAGGGGTCAAGGAGGCAGGGCTGCGGATGACTGAGTTACAAAGGAAAGGACTGGGGCCTCTGAGCAGTCCGCAGTAGGCAGGTAATGCATTAAGTGCACTGGGAAAGCCTAGTTCCTTTAAACTCATGTGGTAACTTGACTTCAACTATAGCATTTAAAGGTAGTCCCTCCACAGCCACATCTAAATGCTCCAGTCTGCAGCCTTAGGAATGAGTAAGTCCCCATACCAGCCCTCACTCAGCACTCCTCACAGATGGAAAGTCTTTCACTTCCATTCATGCACCCAAATTTTCTAAGTGTTTCCCATTTGATATCGTGATCAAGGATAGCATAGTATCTTACTGGCCCTAATAATTTGTCATTTGTTAAAGAATAATATGGTACAGAGAAAAAAAGCAAGAAAACAAAGACGGCCCCACAGGCAGGAGAAGCAATGGCCAGTTTGTGGGCTGAGAGCCCAGTTGGAGTGGGGGACTCACTTCTCAGAGGCCAGGATCATTTTAGACAGCATGGGGTCCACTGGCAGCTCTGCCATCTTTCGACCAGACTAAGAAGAGATAAGATTGAAGCCGGTCCTATCTCAGGTATCCTCCCACCACTCAAGGGGTGACACCTTTATCCTACCCCAGCCCAATGCCCTCCCACCTCACCGTGGTGAGCTCCCCAAGGTGGTTGAGGGCTCCCAGAGCATACAGCTGCTCCAAAGCCAGCAGCAGAGTCTCATAGGGTGGAGGGTCCAGGAAATCAAAGTGCATGAGGTCATGGATCCCTGCACAGAGATATGAGGGGTTAGAACAGAGCCCTCTACAAAGACTGGTGACTCCGGTCCCATCTCCCTCTCTCAGGAGAACTGGGGGACCCCACTCACCCAAGCTCTTGAGCAGCAATACAACATTGCCTAGGCTGGTCCTCTGAATCTCTGGCACCGTGGTCTCTTCCAGCTCATGCTGATAGGCCCAAGCGGTATACAGACGGAAGCACTTCCCTGCAGCCACCCGGCCTGCCCGGCCAGCTCGCTGATTGGCTGAAGCCTGGAAAGAAAGCAGAGGCAGGCTGGCTGACAACTGGGTGAGAGAAAGAGAAAGGGCAGTATTTACACAAGACATTTAGGAGGGTGTGATTCCATCCTCTAACAACCCCACACAGGCTTCTGAGTGGGACCTTCCTATGGACTCATTCCACCTCCCACTGCCCCACGGAGACCCCTACTGGAGCCCAGGCTGACCTTGCTGCAGGGTGTGACCGTGAGTGATTCCATTCCTGTGCGAGGGTTGTAGCTCTTCTGCTTACAGAACCCTGGATCCAGCACATAAATGATGCCCTCAATCGTGAGTGAAGTCTCGGCAATGTTTGTTGCCACAACCACCTGAGTGAGAGGATATGGGTTACTCAGAGAACCCAACATCCTAGTTATGTAGAAAAAGTAATCCTGGAAGCTGTGGAGTAGACAAGCAGGGGCAAATAAGAGGCAGGAGCTGAGGGGGTTAGTGTCCAAAGTCACAGAGGGGGACAAGCCAGGAGAAGGGTGGGAGAAACAGGGATCAGAAGAAACACAATATGGAAAGGAAATAGAGAAGAGGGTTAATGGGTTTTTCAGAGATAGGATATGAGCCTATCTGGGTTCCTGCCCCCCCTTCTCTACCAGCACTTTATAGTCACCTTCACACATTACTGCCTGCAAAAGCCTAACTTCCACTCCTAGCCTTCCTACTTCTACTCCTGCCTGGGTTACGTGGCATCCCAGAATGGTCCTTTTATTTATTTTTTTTAATTAATTTATTTTTTATTGATTATGCCATTACAGTTGTTCTATTCCCCTCCACCCTACCCCCTGTCCCCACCATTAAGCCTCCTTTAGTTTATGACCATGTCCCAAGTCCTTTAGATTCTATATTTCCCATACTATTCTTGCCCCCCCCATCTATTTTCTATCTACTGTCTATGCTACTTATTTTCTGTACCTTCTCCCCCCTTCTCCTCCTCCCACTCCCCTGTTGCTAACCCTCCTTGAAATCTTCATTTCTATGTTTCCACTCCTGATCTAGCTGTCCTTTTAGTTTGCTTTTGTT